ACCTTGTGATTGACAAGTAATTCTCAGTGAGTCCGTCCAGCTCAACGCACCAAACTCAGATCAAACTGTCAAACTAAGCAGTGCTGATCAGATATGACTATTAATAAACAATATTATTTGCCAATATTGACCTATCACAGTCATTGTGTCGTATCAGTATCGGTTATACAATATGATATGAAAACTTTTTTTCCCCTGATAAATTATATATATCATCATTTCATGTGCTGATTTAAAAAAATATGTTTTTTCCAGTATGAAAATTGCTTGTGGTAATGTATTTATGTTACTGCAAACTTTATCCAGCAGAATGTGCTGTGATTTACAATACTGTGGAAAACAGCACAGAGTAAGAGAGAAGAAGCAGATATCAGCAGTGTCAACTAGAATTGGTTGACAATGTATATATTCAATTATTAACATGTTAAAGAATATTTAATTTAAATATTCTTGAATTATATTATTTGTTGAAGAAAGCATCTTTCTGAGTACCTTTGCAGAGTCATATTGGAGCAAAATCCACATAGAAAAAGTCTCACAAATTCACGTTTTAGTCCACCAAATCTTTAATTGGCAAATTTTTCACTCTAAAATCGGTATCAGTCTCAGAAATCCTGTATTGGTCAGGCTACTAAAGAAGGCATGTTCACACTTGCAGCGGACAAAATGGTATTTTTGAGTGGTAATACATGATGTTGTGCATGAAGAAAATATTTACTTGAGTTGTAGCATATCAGCAGCATTCTACAATGTGACATAAATTAATGTGTCATAACATCAAATATCCATCAAACCGTAGGCAGTATTGTTACTCCAGTTTAAAACAATAAAACATGTGTTTTGTTTGCTCAAAAGGAACCAGAGAAGAAGATGAAGGATGAGCAGGAGGACATGGAGAGGAAGTTGAGGGAGGAGGAGGAGAAGAGCAAGAAGAAGGACACTGAAGGTGAAGACGAGGAGGAGGAGGATGAAGAGGAGGAAGACGAGGAGGAGGAGGAAGAGGAAGAGGGCGACAAAGAGACGGAGGACGATGCAGGGACAGAAGAGGAGGATGTCAAACAGAAGGATGAGTTGTAGAGGAAGGGACCCGGTTGACTCTGCAGGTTCAAACTAACAACAGAAGATCAAGGAAAGCCCTATAGACTCTGGCCTTTCATACAGCAGCCTTTTATTCAGGTGGAGGGGCGGGGGAGGGGTGGAGGGTGGGGGTCAGGTCAGATTTCTTTTTTATTGATTCCCTTGTTGCTTTTATTATTATTTTTTTTAGCCTTCAAATTAGAGATGGGAGAAGGGTTTACTTTTTTTCTCCTCCTGTATGCTTTGAATTTTCTAATTTAATGTGATTTACTGGATGCGGTGTGTGCATCCTGCAGTTACCCACAGAGCCAATCCATTTTTATTACTGCGTTTTTTTGGGATGTCCAGTTAATAGAGGGTCTGTGATGTTCTCGTTCATGCACTTTTGTTTCTCCTGTGTGATGTGGAACAGTTTTTGTTTTAAATTGCCCATAATTTATTCAATCATTACATTCATTCAGTTCCCAAAGCTCTGATTTTGGACCTTTGTGCAACTCTTCGTTTGTGTGTTGTGTGTGTGTAAAAGAGAGTGAGACTGCATTTGACGAACTGTGATTTTTACAATCCTTATTTTCTCATTGTTCTGAGTGAGTGACTGACCCGTGGGCGCACACTGTTTTTGAGTTTCAGTCAATAAATTAAAGCTTCTCTCAACAAGCTGACGTCTGTTTTCACTGGTAGTGCAAGTTGTGGATGTGTAAACGTCTTATTTCAGTGTGGTGTGAAGGAGATATTTATCGGGTGAAAACAAACACATAATATGTGGGTGTTATCAGTATCATTTTCTGTATCTGTACTAACACAGAATGTCCACTTTAGCCTGCATGATCGATTCGTTGGTCGATTTTATTGGCCAATATTGGCCTATCGCATCAGTGTATGTGTTATGTGCAGAAATGAAAAGTGTTTTTTTTTTCTCCGGTATTTAATGCAGAAAACTGCTTGTGGTAATTTACTGATGTTACTGCAAAGTTTATCCAACAGAGTTGCTCTGATTTACAATACAGTGGCAGCAGCACAGAGTAAGGGAGAAGAAGCAGCTCTTAGCAATGTCAACTAGAATTGGTTGGCAATGTATATGTTCAATTATAGAACAACAATAATTAAAGCTGCAAGAAAAATAACTTTTTGTCATATTTTTTGAAACTATATCTATATTCTGACAGTAGAACATGAG